GTCGCTTATGAAATAGCAAGCCAATTGGTTTAAAATAAATTTATTTGACTTCATACATGTTGGGTTGTGCGTATACCGTGTCGGCAGCAGGCAGCGCATTCCCACAAAATATATCTTGTTCAAACCTATAACGGCGGATATTATATACTATGTCATGTATAGATTTGAAGTAATATCATACTAGTGGATATATATATACTATTGATGAATTTGTTAAATGATCTTAAAAGTAAACAGAACTCTTATTTTTGCATGGTTTGACCAAAATGATTTTTTCGTTCAAACATATTTGTTGTTATTTTACTAAGTAACGTACAAATTTATATGTGATAGTGTAAAATAGTATTAGTTAATATATGAATAAAATAGTGTGATTTCAAGGTATATTACGTTTTATCGAAATAAAATAACATGTTATTTACTTGAAAATTATTCAAATAATTGTTATAATAAAGAAATAGATGTCCAAATCCAATATCACTCTCACCGCCCTACTTAAAATGCTTCTCCTAAAAAAAAAAAAAAAAGGTGTTTCCCCTAATAATAGATAATTCATAGTTATTTCAGTACATATAAGTAAGAAGCTGTCAATTTACTATGACATTCTATTATTTAAGCATGCCATGATGTGAATAACGAAAATATATGCTACGTTGTTCTTACAGTTTATTAATTCAGCTATATTATGTGTTCATGTTATGCAGTTATACTATATATGTTTCAAATAAAATTTCCTGATTTTTTTATCTGTAATTTCAAAATGGTTTCGATACGATTCAAGTCTAAAACGAAAACAAAGAGTGTCACTAAAAATCTTAAACCAATGGCGAGTTGGCAAAAAAAAATCCAAAGGCGAAAACAAAGCCAATGGGTTTAAGTAATTATGTGGCATTCAGGTCGGATCAGGAGCTGTCGTGGAACGCACCAATGAATTACGATTCTCTCGATAAGTGTTCCTTTAGTACTGGTCAACAAAAGCAGTCTCCTTTTTTATTCTCACATGTGTTTTTTTTTTTATAAATAATTGTTAATTGCTCAGCACTATTCTAATTTTAATATTAGTAATATATTTAGTTTAATTACATACTATTCTATCTCAGGACGGGGTGTTTTCATTCATTTTAAGGGTCAGCTTGTCATATCTGCCTTTTTTTATAGTAATAATCTTCTTCTTATTACTAACTACTGTACCCAAAAATATTAATACTATTTTTTGTAGCGACTTAAATAGCTAAACGTTAGGCTATAAATTAGTTATTCTATGGTAAAATTTTCTCATTAATTATGCAAATTCAGATGGTTAATTAGTTCGATGATATCTATTTTGCATTACAATACACAGGGAGTAATATATATGTTAGTAAGATGAACATATATACTTTCATTATATTAAGCATGAGACCTTAGGAAAAACTGATTTTATCTAAACCATATTATTATATATATTGGTCAATCATATCATAAAAGTTGGCCAAAAGATGGCTATAGTATGCGGTATGCGCCTAAAAGCATCATCTTATGGAAAAAACAGTTCGGGCAACTAATATTTTTTCTGTTGCAAAAGACATGTCGCCAACAATTCATCTATTTAATTGATATAAATGGTTAAAAAATTTTAAAGAGGAAAAACAAAAAGGAGGTCAATTGTCTTGATTAAAACCATTAAAATCTGCAAAAATGATCAACTAATTACTAATAATTTGCCTAGTGATATTCGTAAAACTTCCCCACAAATTAATCCGCCAAAATTTATATAGTTTCATAATATAAGGAACTGATTTGATCGAGAAATAATATAATCACATCAATTAGGTTTGCAATTATGATATTTAAAAATTAGGTCTCCAGTGAGTTGGTTAATATCACGTTTTCCTTTATTTCTAATTAAGAAAATGTGGGGGGGAGCCACAAAATTAATTGATTTAATACTACTTAATTAGTTTTGGTAAGATGGCCTAAGTTAGGCCATGTTATTAAATTACTACTCCACTGGATTTGAGTTAATTTGTTAGGCCAACCTGATTATCCCCAATACAAAAATACTTTGATGTTATTATAGACAGATATATCTGTGGGTATATGGATATATTATTCTCTTAATTATACCAAAATGGAAGATAAGAATCTAAAATGAACGGCTGAGATGGAATTGGAATATTACTAAAAATAGGATGAAGTTTGGGTCCAGATAGAAGAAATGAGGAGGATGGTGCTGACCTTTTCGTATTTGAAAACAATTTCACTCGTTGTCTTCCCACTTGCAATATTGCATGGCCCAATTCTTCATTTAAACGACACCGTTTTCAGTTACACCAAACCCACTTTCAACTAATTTATGTTATGTGGCAATCTTGCATGTTAATTACATGTATTAAACACATGACTTTATCTATCTTCCGATTTGTTTTCCACCAAAAGTTATATTACTTTTGATAATAATTGAGACGGACCAACATTGTATTGTATTGTATTGTATTGTTAGGCAAACTCAAATTACTGTTTAATTTTTTAGATAAAATAAGGAAAAATCAGACAAAAAACAAAGAGCCTACTATTATAAAGTTTCGATATAACAAGGTCAATGATGTGGATGATAACCAATTGCATGCATCATGGTAATGAGACGTGATACAGAAATTTGCTTAAATTTAAACTTGTGTCCGGTATTACTAGATTTAAGATATCCTTAAAAAAGTTCGAAATTAAAATATGCACACCAAACTCATATCAACTTTTGTTGTTTGATAAAAAAAAAATCCACGATAATATGAAATCACTGAAATAAACTAATCTGTTAATGTCACACATGGACTATTTCATATTTCAAAATCTGAATTTAAATTTTCAATTGAGAATAACTATGGAGCTCTGATGAGTCTGTGACCCACTAATCAAATGGGTCACAGACTAGCTCGGTTTTAAGCTTTAAGTCCTTGAGATCATTATCTTCAACAGAAGACTTATACTATTTTTTGAAGAAATGATAGGGTTATTATTCAACAAATATATATGCCCATCTTTTAAATAGGGGATAAGTATTACTTTTGTTTCAAACAAAATGGATAAACATTTGATAAAGGTAGGACCAAGAAAAGTGGAAAAATTAGGTACTCTGCTCCGTACAAGAATATGGCTTTGGGCAATACGATGGGTTCATGATTCATCTCCCCTTCACATATGTACAATGTATTATCCTGTTGATCTTATTGTCCCCATTCTTGCTATCTTATATATTTAATTCCAATTCATATAATTGAGCAATAATTGTATTTGAACTCATTACTTATAGTTATTGCTTATGAAAACTGATCAAAACAACAAAAAGTTGACGTTTTAAGTTTTGCATTCAAACTAGGCCAACTGTGTTAATTTGATCTCTGATGACGTGGATATATGTTTATTAAATTGTATGGGTATAATAATAAATATATGTATAAATAGAAGAAAAAAACTATATAATGAAACAAAAGAGAAACAGAGGAAAGTTTGATGGTTTAGGACGAATCTGGTTTGTTTAGTTCAACCAATAAAGCATAGTTCTCATGCAAGTGGGAACATCAACTAAGTCTCACCACATTTTAAAATAGTCGACTAAATCTGCATGCAGTACTCTGTTATATGTGTATATAATATCAAATAGTATAATTTAATAAATGTTATATATATGTTTGATGGATCATAGAAGGTTTAAGTTTTTATGATGAAATAACGAAGCCACGAAGAACTAAATCTAACCGTTTGATGCTGCTTCTAAAACTAAACAATACATCCCAATATATTATTAGGACGTCGTTGATGTATTTCTCTTTATCAAAATATGTGATCCTTTATTAAACAAAGATTCATGCATATATAAAAAGGAACTAGTCACTATAGAAGGATCAAAGATATATGTTGCTTATCTTTGTAAACCCGAAATTAGTGATCATGAGTCGTCTTGGCTTTGCTGGCGTATTCGGTCGTTGTATTAATAATGTGTAATTGATTTGATTAATGATTTGAACGAGGATAATCACAAACGAAGGCGTATCTTCATGAGTTTAGTTATATCTTATACTAAACGTTATATTTATGGGTTTGTAATTCAAACCTAATTAGCAATAATATATTAGTCAATGTCTTATAAATATTATTACATGTCTCAATTTCACACCTCTCAAAATAATAATTTTTCCTATATATGATTCGAAAAACTCACGTTAGGATAGGAAACATATCATAGTTGAGTGTGGTATAGGAAGACAATGCTTAGGAAAGGCAACAATAAGTACTATGATTCTACGTACAAAGAAGTTCTTAGTGGATAAAAACCAAACTAGGTAAGGACTTATAGGAAACATATGAGAACCTAATGATCAAGACTCTCCAACTAAAGCAAAATATGTAAAGAGACACGTCATGTTCCAAATATGGAAGGACGAATATAGTTTCAAGAAAAGCCTCAAAGGGGGGATGCACTATTTAATTAGAGAATCACAAAAAAAAAATAAAGAGGTCTCAATCTCATGTGAACCCCCTTCCCACTTGGCCCTCTATTCCTTTATGCTATTACACATCGCCCATTACTCATTTTTCTATCTCTCAACGAGTCAACTCTATACAATTACATTTCTTTCTACTACTATTCTTCTATGGACCATTCGATTTTTGGAAACTTCTTTTCTCCAAAAAAACATCTATAATATCGGACGAAATGTCAAATGTGGTTTTTCTTAGCCGTATTTACCATTCTTAACCAATCTCATTGCTAGTTTTGTATGTAATTATTCTTTGTCTTTTAGTGAAAAATTCTTATATTTTAATGTTCACTTTTCATATACATTTGTTATAGACGCATATTACACGTTAATATATTATTAGCTTATTACCATATAAAGAACTAATTATAGCAACAACATCAACAAGAGTACCCATATTTAAAAAAAGGACTAATTAAAAGGTACCAAAATTAGTACGAATGTAATAAAAAAAAATTAAAAAAAAAAATAACACTAGTAGTACCCATATTTTTGGACTCTTCCGACGAAACTTCCTCTACAAAACACATTTTGCCATTCTTGCAAGACTTGACCCTACTCTTCTGCACCTTCCCCTTTCTCTTTTATAATTCAATCAATTTAATTTTTATTTTCACCTTTCTTTCATAAATACATTACCCACATTTTACATTTATCTCTCATTATCCTATAAAATTTCCACAAAACAAATATCAACGTACATGCACTTCCTTGTGTATATATAAACTCCAACCCCATCTCTTCATAAAGCAACAAAAACTTAACCCATTTCTCTTTATTTCTTTCTTTAATTGTTCTTCTCTCTCTCAGAAACTCAAACAAAAATGGATTACAGCTGTGTAGACGACAGTAGTACAACGTCAGAATCTCTCTCCATCTCTACTCCGAAGCCGACAACGACGACGGAGAAACTCTCTTCTCCTCCGGCCACGATGCGTCTCTACAGAATGGGAAGCGGCGGAAGCAGCGTCGTTTTGGATTCAGAGAACGGCGTCGAGACCGAGTCACGAAAGCTCCCGTCGTCGAAATACAAAGGTGTTGTGCCTCAACCTAACGGAAGATGGGGAGCTCAGATTTACGAGAAGCATCAGCGAGTTTGGCTCGGTACTTTCAACGAAGAAGAAGAAGCCGCGACTTCTTACGACATCGCCGCTAGGAGATTCCGTGGCCGTGACGCCGTCACTAATTTCAAATCTCAAGTTGATGGAAACGAAGCCGAATCGGCTTTTCTTGACGCTCATTCTAAAGCTGAGATCGTTGATATGTTGAGGAAACACACTTACGCCGATGAGTTTGAGCAGAGCAAACGGAAATTTGTTAACGGTAAGGGAAGACACTGTGGATCGGAGACGGCGATGCAAGGAAACGACGCAGTTTTGAGAGCGCGTGAGGTTTTGTTCGAGAAGACTGTAACGCCGAGTGACGTCGGGAAGCTGAATCGTTTAGTGATACCGAAACAACACGCGGAGAAGCATTTTCCGTTACCGGCGACGACGACGGCGATGGGGATGAGTCCGTCTCCGACGAAAGGCGTTTTGATTAACTTGGAAGACAGAACAGGGAAAGTGTGGCGGTTCCGTTACAGTTACTGGAACAGCAGTCAAAGTTACGTGTTGACCAAGGGCTGGAGCCGGTTCGTTAAAGAGAAGAATCTCAGAGCCGGTGATGTGGTTTGCTTCGAGAGATCAACCGGACCAGACCGGCAATTGTATATCGACTGGAAAGTCCGGTCTAGTCCGGTACAGACTGTGGTTAGGCTATTCGGAGTCAACATTTTTAATGTGAGTAACGAGAAACCAAACGACGTCGCAGTAGAGTGCGGTGGCAAGAGATCTCGGGAAGTTGATTTGTTTTCGTTAGGGTGTTCCAAGAAGCAGGCGATTATCAATGTCTTGTGACAATTTTTTCTTTTTTTCTTTTTTTCAATTTTTTTCTCCTTGTTCAATATTTTCTATTAAATTGGCAAGTTGTAAATTAGGACAAGACAAGAAATATGACAACTAGACAAAATAGTTTTTGTTTACATCTAATTTAGGGTTTGTTTTTCAACCTTGCTGGAATATGATATGTGTTTTCCTCCTTAATCTAATAATCTTATTTAATCTAATCTTGGTTATAGCGCACTTTATTGCATATTTTTCAATTGAAATATAATTGTTATGACTTATGAGTATATAATCCCACACTAATATTTATACATTTACTTATATGTATACATTATTGGAGTAAAATATCTTATACGATCAAAAGGAATCCCCTATATATTAATAGAGAAACATTTTTAAAAAAAAACCTTACCATCATGTGTTATTAACAAGATTGTCACGCTGATGTGTCGCTCTTACAATGATTTGGCTTCTATTTATATAATTACCCAAGATTTATTAGACTATTTACAGAATTTGCCATTAGTCTCATATATCCATATATCCCACTAATCAAAAACGAATTTCTAATTAAAAATTAAAAAAAAAAACACAATGTATACTAGACAAACTTTATTATTTCTATATTAGCAAACACATAACAAATGTTACATTTTTTCTATATATGCATAACAAATAACAAATCTGTATTATCTAATATTAAAATTTAAGACATGCTACGTCCAAGCTTAAACTTAAAATCAAACAGACATTTTTTATTTCATAAATCGAGCAAACTAATGGTCTATATATTACTAGATTAGTTACAAAGGTGCCATGATATTCTAATTATTTCGTTAATTAATATTAAACATCAGTAATACAAACATCATATCTTTATCTATACATAAAGAATTTGTGTATATGTATATATATTAAATTGATCTAAGGTCTATATTTTTAAATCCAGACTAACATATTATATATAACAACTCAAACATGTAAGCGTATAATTCATGTAAATTAATATATTAGAATATATTTTTATAACTTTTGTAAGTACAAATTTTCCTAGGTTCATAAATCCAAACTACATTTATAAAATTAATTCTCAAAACTAAATCTATCATAAAATCAACAATAAATTAATTTTTCAAATTTTGAAGGCAATCCAAATTTTAAAAATTAAACGGAACCCTACAAAAATATTTCTCTAAAAATATATTCCCTGATATCATCTTCATCCTCTCAAATTTACCAAACACACATCTTCTTAGTTTTCGAGCAATCTAAATTTTGTAAATCTTCATCAACTCTTTTACAAAGATGTATATGTGTTTGTTATTTAAGTTACGTTAGAAAAGAAATTTTCGTCTTTAGTTATTTTACGGGTAAAACGAATTCCGATACGAAAAATCGATGATTGAAATATAAAACTTTTTTTTAACATGTTTTATAATACACTAACAGATTTTGGATTCCGGATAATAATACAATAATTTTTATAACTAAAACTACAATGCACTTCTTTAATTGTCATTTCATGTGCTGGAAATTTATCTAGTAGTATAATTAAATGTCAACATGTCCAATTAAAACGTGGGTGCGATACGAAAAATCTATTTATGTGGTTGAGATGCTTAAGCGGAGAACAACGTCGATCGTTCAAAGATTTTGTACGTTTCTTAAACTAAGTATAAAAACTGTTTTTTCGTGTACGATTTGGGGAAAAAATACTGACCAAAATAATTAAGAACATGCACGGAATCTAGATTACGATTTAAGAACCATTGTTATATTTAATAGAAGTACATCTCGAAGTTGATAATTATTTGTCTTATGCCTTAAGATTCATGCATCTTATTTATTTCACCAAGTATAGTTGTATTTAAAAAGAATCAATTAGATGCTACACATAACACATATGTATGTGGACACTGGTTCATGGATTGTTTTTCAAACATGCACTGGCAAGATATTTATATTCAGTTTAGTAATGTTGAAATTTAGTAAATGTATTTCAGAATATCAAAAATAAAATAAAATATAAAAAATGATTTGTATTAAGAATTTATCATCGTGAGCATACATATTTAGTACTAATTACTAAAAATTTAACATAATTTTGTTAAAAGATTAATCCTAATTAACGTAAATAACTAATGATTTTCCTAATTAAACATGAAAACATGGTTAAATGTTCTAAAACCAGTCGAATCCCCTACATAGTCGTGACTTAAAGCCCATGATGTACAAAAAGCCCATGCTCATTAAAGTCAAAACGTTTGTTGATTATCTCATGTTAGCGAACTTGAAACTTAAAAGCTTGTGGGTAATGGTAGAAAGTGAGTTGACACATATAAAATAGCCCAGCTCATTGTTAGTTAAATTTGTGACTCATTTTGACGTCTTTTCTTGGTCCAAATTTTACAAGAAACATCAAAATATATGATGTATTAAACATTCTGATGAATTTCTGAGAGTGACAAAAAAAAAAAAAAAACAATACTTGGCCTTATGGAATCTGAAAGAAGCAAAAGCCTTACAATATATCGACATAAGTGTTCATCGCTCGAACAGTACAACATATGAGCATATTGTATCACTTTTTATTTTGTTTGTAAACTTTTGGTCGAACCATAATAGCTAACTACACATTTTCAATGTAATTTTTACTATAAGTCTATAACATATACGTAGTAGCTCCCCTTCAACATAAAAATACGTCTATGTTTGTCGGTCATGCATTACTAGTTTTCGTTAGCATCTACAGTATAGCTTCTGTATTAACAAAACTTTGCTTGATGAGATATTGTAATTTCATGATGCATGGATGCGCAAAATTGTACTCGAGGTCTTGTATTATCTTTCCTCAGGTGGTTTGATGCCATTGGAATGACTTCTCATGGGAACATTTTTCATCCTTTCTAGATATAACTTCTTTTTTGAGTTCGCAACATCTCAAATTATGCTATGTAATAAGAGAATATAAACATAAGAAATTTGTTACCTAGGATTTCAAATAGAGACTGGTATAAATAACGATGTAACAAATAAGTATTAAAAATTACTTTCTTTTTACCGAGAAGCAATTTTTATGTTTAATTTCTCAATAATCCATATTTTTGGTCATAATGTGTTCACGTGAATTGCAATTGGCCTTTACCTAATTAAATAATTTTAGATAAGTTATCTAACTAATTAATTCAACATCAAAGGAACCGAACCATCCTAAAAGGACCTAGACTATGACAAAAATCGTATAACTAATTAAATAGACTAGAATTCCAAGCCAATTAATGATATGCCACATCTCAGCAAATTATAAGACCAATAGCTAGAAGAGTGCATTAACGTAATTTAGAATCCATTGACTCACCCTAGTGACTAGTATAAGATACCAAAAAATGTTATTGAATCAACAAAGTGGATGCTATTATTTTTGTCACAATTTGCTTAAGGGAGGGCTGACAATCTTGTCTACATTTCCGAAGAAAAGATTCAATTTGAAACCCAAAAATATCTAATATCAAAACATATCTTCATAAATAAATAAACAGGTGATGGTTAGCTGTATTTGAGGTAAAGGGAGGGCCACTTGGCCTTTAGGAGAAGGTAAGGGCCACCTACCTTTGTTAATCCAACCTCTTTTAGAGGGGTGTTTACTTGCAATTTCAAGATATTTGAATCCGATGATATTTATCTCCTGATTACATGGATCACTGTCTTTGTATTTCAAATTAAGTAAGAACTATTTTCTGAAATTGTATTTTAATACAGTTATACAGATGTACATTTTTGTTATAGTAATATAGTAGTATATGTTCAACAACTCATTACCATTGGGTGATGACTTGTATTTTGATATATATATAGTTGGGTAATGAATAGTGAAATAATGGATTAGTAGTGAGCTGAACAAAAATCTTGTGAATTATCATGAAATGCTAAGAGAATTATCGATAGTTTTTAAAAAATATATATATAATTTTAGTATATAATCAGTATTCAAAAACGTTGATCAATCTTTTAAAACATGAACAATCAGTATGTCATGTTAAGAAAAGAGCTTGCCAAACGAAAAAGGACCAACTATTTTTAGAAAAAAAAAGGTTCGATGTTTAGTTTACAATGATACCTAAAAAATTTCTGTCTTTTTATTTTATTTATACAAGAAACGGTAGAGAATATCGAAACTTTTTTTAAAAAACGCAGAGAATATACTTTTGGACAGCACCGATATCATATTATCATTATAAAAAAAAAAAGAATATGGTTTTTGGTAAGGAATCATTTTTCTTGTGATTCTTCTTTAATCAGTTGCATGAAAAATGCCAAAGAAAATATATGCTTCTTTTTTTTTTGAAACCCAGAATATTCGGCCACGGGGACCACACACCACAAAATGAAAACAAACGAAAAATGGAATTTTAGAAAATTCTAGCAACGACGACTCAGATTATTTGTATAATAGTCACTTATTGATTATTTTGAGCATTATTAATTATTTGATTAATCACCGCCCTGGAAAAAAATGAGTATGCTTTCTCTCTTAAATGGTCGTTGGTCCTCCATTCCCTCATGAACACGTTGCTACGTGGAAACGTTATGAAAGCGCGTTACCACCATTGGACCAGAATATTCTTACGTCTTTGTTATTTATTTATAATCTTTGTTAAAGTTACGTGTTTGTATTAAATTGCATAATTCCACGTATTACAAATACTATAATTCACCAAATCAGATGTTGATTTCTATATACTACAAATATAAGATCATTTTCTGATATCTAGCCATATCAAGACGTTGTATCTGAAGAAGATCAAAACTCTTACTTTATTCAATTGTGTGTAATAAATCTCTATCGTTACAAATTTATTCAAATATCTTAAACCTCGAACGAACATTCTTGGTAATTTATGAAGAAAACTAATTTTCATACAAATCGTGAACTATCTATGAAAGAGGAAGACGGTGTGGTGTGTGTGTAGAAGAAGATGTTGTCGGCGATTTGCAACGCCGGCTACTTCTCTCTCCCGACGGTGAAGATTGAACCGCCACCGGAGCATAAACTCTATTATTCGTTGTATCGTGCGACGGCACCCAAATTCCTTCCACCACCATGAATTGCCGTTGTTGTGGATTTTCACCAGCGTTTGTTATTACCGGAGTAGCTGGTCTTCTTGTGTGCAATCTATATTTCTGTAAAAATCAAGAAAGTTAGAATTATGAATCTATGATA